ATCTATCTATCTATCTATCTATCTATCTATCTATCTATCTATCTATCCATCCATCCATCCATCCATCCATCCATCCATCCTATGTAAAATAAGGTATGACCTAAATATGAGACCCTGGGTGAAGTTGTCCATACACACACTATTAGCTCCTTCAGTCATACTTCTGTGGGGCTGACTGATAAGTCAGATGAAGCCTATTGGGTCTGCTTCTCACAGCCTCTGGGGCTGTGTGCTTCTCTTCATGGTGGCAGCAGCAATTGCTGCCACCTCTGCCTTGGACAAGTGTAGTGGGTGATTCCTGTAGGCCAGACTTTCATTGGTTCTAGTCTGTGTGATGTTTGTGGTTGGCACAGTATTTAATGCACATAGGCAGAATTGTTATAGGATCTTTAATGTGAACATAAACACAACACTGATTTTAAACTTCAATATACTGGTGTGATACTTTTCAAATGTCTAGACACTGGTGAATTTTTGTTTAAAATTTTCTGTTACTCTTGTTTCTATAAGGTACTTTTACTGTGAGTTAAAAATTCTTAGAAATTAAAGTTCTGCAAAAAGCTATCCTATACTTGGTTTATAAGTCACTATACATATAAATATATACTTAGTTTGTTTATTTTTTCGATTCCATCATGATGACCGCTCCAGAGTACTGACACTAGTTCAGTGTTGAAGCACAGTGCTTAGCATGTTAGAGAAAGAGATGTTTTCACTTGCTTTCTGTTGTGTATTTATAGATAAATTCTTTGTAACCCAAAAGTAACATTAATAGTTAAAAATGTCATCTTACATTACTTAATGATTCAAGCTCATTAGACTTGTTTCTGATTTCCTCATAGAGGAACGGAACTTCATCCAGAGTTCTGCAGAATGTAAGTGCTGTTCACACCAGCTCATTTGCTGGCAATGCATACAGTCTGTGAACACCAATGGCATCACACTGCAGTCCACAATAAGAAATAAATGTTCTCTATAACTGAGTTTACATACACATCAAAACACATATAAAAATTTAAGTGACATTTTTTTGTATGGTTCATGCTGGCATTTTCTAATGTTTGTTATAATTTTTTTGAAATATCATACACAAACTAAGGTATTTCCTAACCTATTATTATAAAATGGGAGGTAAATTTCCATTTGAAAAACATAACTAGAATCTATTTTTTTTTTTATTTTTCAAGACAAGGTTTCTTTGTGTAGTCCTAGCTGTCCTGGAATTTGCTCTTGTATACCAGGCTGGCCTCAAACTCACAGTGATCCACCTGCCTCTGCCTCCCAAGCGCTGTGTGCCACTACCATCCAGCCTATATTTCTTGTTTCTTATTGTGAACTCACATCAGAGACTGTGAAGTGGTGCTGATGTGCAGTGCAAGAGCTTAGGGATAGGCAGTGGGTGTTCCGATCAAATAGGAAATGTTCACCTCTGTTTCCTGGCTTTGAAACACAGCCAAGAAAACTAAAGGTGCTTGATGTTGCCCCATTCTGAGTAAAGAAGTAGGTCATTCCAGGCCAGCCAGATCCCAGTAACTCCCATTTGCTTGTTCAGAGTTCTCAGTCAGCGGACGAATCTTGGAGGCATCACTCTTTCTGTGTGTTGATGAGCACCCACCCTAGCTTGTTTGCCAGTGCAGCTTGAACATGGTGAACCTCCTTCTCTGATCTTTACATGCATCCAATACTTAATGCAGATCAATACACAGATGTCTAAGTTGATTTGATTCTAAAAGGAGATCAATTTTGGATGTAACTTGCAAAGACTTAGAGCCTGAAAGAGCAATAGCAGAAGCAGCTACCTTAGAGTGCTGCCCTTGTTACACATTGCTGGAAGCACTTGTTTTCTCTTTACCCCCACTCAAACCTGTAATTTTATTTAGGACTCAGGAAGCCTGAAGTAGGTCAAGCTCTGGATACACTGCAGAAGAAACTTAGTAGCTAGAACCTGAAAAGTTGGTTCCAGATTTGACCCTGGGAACCCCAGGGCCAGACACTGAGCCCTGTGTAGGAACTGAGGGTACTAAAAAATAAAAACAAAAACCTATAACCCATTTCTAAATCATCACCTCTGTGCTGAGCAGTAAGGATAGATAATAGAGGACCATGCAACATTGCAGTTTTATAATGATGTGGCTGTCTGATGTGCTTTGAAAGGAAAAATGAGCCCTACAAAACTTACTAAGGTCGGACTCCACCCCAGCTTGTTATAGACTTCTAGAGCTCCCACTGCTCTGAGAGGTCCTAACAAAAGCCTTAGAAAACCTGTTGCTGGCTCATGGGAACACCCTGAGGACACACTTTCTGGGCAGGGTCTGACTCAGTTCATGAGTTAGTGAGGAGGGTGCCTAGGGATAGGTTAGGACCTATGAAGCAGCAACCATACAAATTCGTAAGTGTGAAAGAAAAAATGACTTCATAATTGCATACAACCCATGCCTAAGTATTATTAAAGTAAAAATGGAGGAGCAGTGAGAAGAAGGCTTTATCTTGAAGGATGCTGGAGAGATCAGTTCATCACAATAAAGACTGCTCTTTATTCTTCTGAGGAAGAAGCCACACTGAGAGCTGGGCACATGGAATTCTGTGACCTCTGGACCTTACTGGCATAAAGTGTCCCAATCGGGGCACTAATTTCCCTGTGACAGCCGACTAAAGACATGATGGGATGGTAAAAGTTTGCACTGTCCTCTTGAAACTTCATAAGAAATTTACCTGAGGCCTTACATTCAACACTAGAATATTTCCTGCCCTCAGAACCCCAATGAAGTGGACGCCTGTGTACTTCAACCTGAGGACCTGTTGCCAACAACTGATATCCGTTCCTCTGTCAGTAGAAATGGACTCTGCTACTTCAGACATTCACAGGTTCCAGGGAGGGCAGTGCCATCCCAGCTTGTGCATGGCCTCCCTCAAAGGTCAGAGCAGTCAGCTTGCTGGAACCCTTGCTGCATTCCCATTACATTTAGTGACAGCTGCAGCTGAGTTTTCTGAATGGAAAAGTTGGTATCTGAGATGCAGCTTGTCTCTGTCTCTTGTTTAAAGTGTTCTCCAGATGAGTCTCCAAATGTAATAGTATGTCTCTAATCAAGAACTTTTGAGCATAACCTAACATATACATACTAATTCATAAATTATAGATCTGTATTATAAACCAAAAGAGCCATTTCAAAAGGATAAAAATATAAATATGAATTTTAAACACTTATATAAATATGAATTTAAAACATTGTGTAGGGGGAAGTTCTGAACCCTGGCATGTACCTTTGTTTACTACCTGTTGTTCTTCCATCCAGAGTGGGTGAAGAGTCTAGCCAGCCTAAACATGGCAAACATGACTCTGGCAGGCCTTGCCCTTCCCCCTATTCCATTAGATTACATTCTTAAAGCTACCATCAAGGTCCATTCCCTTATTTGGCCAATTCCTTCTTCTGAGGCTGACTATCAAGATCCACCTATCAAAGTATTGAAGCCCAGCAATGAAAAGCCCCCCTTATACCCAATTAAAATTAAACACCTCATCCTAACACAGGATTTTCACTTTTACATTTAGAAGCTGCCATTTGCTTATGGGCCATGTCAGTCTCCTCTCTATCCAGAGGCAGTCTATTGTCCCTCTGGGACATAGACACTTTCTTACGCCTCTCCCTTTCTCCCTTCCTCTTCTGCCTTCCCCTCTATCTCTTGTCTTTGTCTTTTATTCCTTGCCCTCTGTCCCTCTGAGGTAAATAAATCTCCTTTATGCTGAGAATTTGGTCTTGGTTTCTTGAAACAATACTGGTCCCTTCCCTAGGATTCTGTCTCACATGGATACTGCCTCCCAGCACAGTCATCAACAGGCTCTTCCCCAAAGAGAAGAGATTCCCTGGTCAGGCTGAGGTGAAAGAGACTTAAATCCCTGAGACCGAAAGAGCCAGGGAGCTCGAAGGGTCTGTAGGATATACACCCCAGCATTGATTACCACATTACTAATACTGTTCCAGTGGCCAGGGCCACCTGAGCAGAGCTGCTCTTTACTATGTACGCCACCAATCTTAGCACCAATTCTCTGTACCCAACCTGAGGTTTAAAGAGTTAAGAAAATCACTATATTTGTGCTCACACCTGGTGCGGGAGAATTGTCTGTATTCTGTCAATCATGTATTTTAATAAAATGCTGATTGGCCAGGCAGGAAGTAGAGGCGGGTCAACCAGACAGGAAGTAGAGGTGATGCAATGAGAACAGGAGAATTCTGGGAAGCAGGAAGCTTCCTCTGTCAGTTCTGCCCAGACCACTGGAGAGGAAAGATGTAAGCTGCCCCGCTGGAAAAGGTACTGAGCCGTGTGGCTAACGTAGATAAGGATAATGGGGTAACATAAGTTATAAGAACTAATAAGTAGCCTGACCTAATGGGCCAATCAGCTTTATAACTTATAGAGATCTCTGTGTGATTGATTTTCTCTGGGACTTGCCGGTTGTGGGGTACTGGGCGGGAACAGATACCCCAACAAGCCGGCCCCTCATGTTACACACACCCACACACGTTTTTTTTTTTTCCTGTCCTTAGTTCCCAAGTAATACAGTGCAGCAACTGTCCACAGAGCACCTACACTATACTGAGCATTTTAACTTAGAGGTGACTTCAAAGTATGTGGAGAGATGTATGCCAGTTATAAGGAAGTACTGCACCATTTCATATCAGGGACTTGAGCACTTGTGGGGTTTGGCATTAGAGCACTGGCACCAATTCTGTAGGCTACAGGGATTTTCAGTTGTCTGTCTCAGGATTCTGTACACCATCATTAACATTTGATTTACCCCGTTTGGATGTTGAAGACCACTATTTTTTCAGTTTACATGTTAAAAGTACTTCACTATACTACTAATCTATTACATTAGAATACATAAAAACCAAGGGAAGATTCTTATGAATTGGATAAGAATGTCAGTTTCCTGGCTGTTGGTCAGACACTATATTTTAAGTAACATTATTCCTCATTTATTTCAAGTAACTAAACTCACAATACACAAACTGCTTTTTATGTAATAAGGGTGACAGTTAGATCGGCCCTTGTATCTCCTTTGTGTAATCACAAAGAACATACAGCAGTGTAGTACTCAACCCACAGCTCATCCAAAAACAAGGTAGGCTTTTTACTCCCTTTTAGTCTTAACTTCCTGAACATGAACTCAGCATTTAAGAATTTTCTTTTGGTAGCAGGAGCGGCAGAGAGGACAGGCATGGAAAGGAGCATTGTCTCCCAAGGAAAACTCTTCCAAGGCCAGGAGGCAGGCATGGTGGAACAGGTGTGCACAGGACAGGAGGACTGTCTCACGGGGACGCTGGCTGCTGGTTCCTACAGCTGCTTGCCGGCAGTCACCATGGAAAGAGAGTGGGGTCAGGCAGATGGAACACTCGTAGATCTCCCGGTGAGCAGCCTGCAGCACAAAGCAGATATGAACTTGTCGTAGGCGTTGACTGTCCTGTCACATTCCAGTTACTCAGACCTGTAGTGAGAACTATATCCCAAGACATGGATCCTCTGAAAATGGGCACTACATTGACAAACTTAAATGTCTAAAATGTGAGGTATAGAGATTATAATAAGCATTTTAAAACACAAATACTTTTAAAATGCTGAGCATTAATAATGTAGATGGTGCCTTTTAATTAAAAGTGAGAAAAAATGGCTGATACTGTTAAAAAGGTAAAACATTCCCAATTTTATATTTTAATATTTTTTAACCCCCAATTTTCTGTTTTAAGTGTCTTTCCATTTGACTTCAAATCACTACAGAGCCCTGCTTTCCTTCCTTAGGCTACTATAGATATAGGAGGAGAACAGGAAGCATAGGCTTGCCCTCTTGGGTTTTCATTGTTCTTATCACTTACCATGGAACTAGAACTTTAATATTTCAAAATGAAAGACCCTGATGGTCATCACTAAGCTCATGGCAAATCCCTGGGCATCCCCATGCAAGGCTCCCACCATTTACAGACCATTCTGGAGAGGCAGCAGGGAAGCTGGGCTGAAGCCTACCTGCACTTGGATTTTCTCCCAATCCTCCTCAGTGATCTCATGGCCACATCTTTCGTCTAGCTGCTGAAGAATGCTGCGATTTACAGCCAAGCAGAGGTCGATTTCTGAGAAGAGTTCATCTATGTTGGTGTTGTATGAGCACAAGAGTCGGTGGCTGATTTCTGTGAACTGAGAACAGAGGCATAGGCTAGAGTGTCTGAATGACAGGGCAAAGCCATTCCTGAAGGAGGAGCTTGACTTCCCTTCCCTTCAGAAGCTGTCATGAGGCCCTACTGTAATGTAACTCCTGTTAATGTAACAGGAGTTACATTACATTCTGAGGATGGGGGTCCCGAGAGAAACCTAGCACAGACCAGGCCAAGCTGCCTGTCTCACTGTCCTCAGCTGTCTCCTTTTTGGTACTTTCCATTCTTCATCAGTGAAAGCCCAGTTCACTGCTGCTTAACTGTGACTCAGGTCTTTATTTCTGTAAGAAGGGGACCATGTCACAGGAGACTTTATTAAATAAGTGCTTATACTTTTGCTAATAGGTCTCTTGTTGGTCTAATTCACAGGATTCCAGCTTAACAATTCACAATGTGTAAAAAAGATACTTTCCTCTGCAGCAGTTAGCAAGTTAGTTAGTATATGGGACTAAAGCTTACACGCACAGTGCATAACCTTTTGGCACTGCTTCCAGGCATGTGGGGACTAGAGCTAGCAGCACTTATGCTTTGCCTATCAGCCTGTGAAGCTGTGGCTCCAGATTCTAGATGATCTTAGTATAAGCAGAAAAGAGGAAATCCAAGCAAGGAGGGTTGTCTTCTTACTTTTTCCCATTAAGCTCTAAGGTCACAATTTGAAACAGTCCTTGCCTAATAACTTTAAAAATCTTCCTCTAGAATCTAAAATGGCTGAAAGACTCTTAAGGAAATGTTCAACATCCTTAGCAATCAGAGAAATGCAAATCAAAACAACTCTGAGATTTCATCTTACACCTGTAAGAATGGTCAAGATAAACACTGATGACAACTTATGCTGGAGAGGATGTGGGGAAAAGGGAACACTCCTGCATTGCTGGTGGGAATGCAAGCTGGTACAGTCCCTTTGGATATCAGTATGATGATTTCTCAGAAAATTAGGAAACAACCTTCCCCAAGACCCAGCAATACCACTTTTGGGTATATATCCAAAGGATGCTCAATTGTACCAAAAGGACATGTGCTCAACTATGTTCATAGCAGCTTTGTTCGTCATAGCAGAACCTAGAAACAACCTAAATGCCCCTTGACCAAAGAATGGATGAGGAAAATGTGGTACATTTATACAATGGAGTACTACACAGCAGAAAAAATGACATCTTGAAATTTGCAGGCAAATGGATGGATCTAGAAATCATCATATTGAGTGAGGTAACCCAGTCCCAGAAGACACATATCATATGTACTCACTCCTAAGTGGCTTTAGACATAAAGAAAAAATAAATAAAAGAGAAAAAAAGAAAAAAAAAGCAGCCTGCAAGTCACAATCCCAGAGAACGTAGACAACAAAGAGGGCCCTAAGGGAGACATACATAGATCTAATGTACATGGGAAGTAGAAAAAGATAAGATCTCCTGAGTAAATTGGGAGCTTGGGGACCATGGGAGAGGGTAGGAGGGGATGAGAGAGGAAGAAAGGAGAGTCGAAAAAATATATAGCTCAATAAAAAAAAAAATTAAGAAAAAAAGTTTTTTTTTTTTTTTAAATCTTTTTCTAAGCAAAGATAATCTATTTATAGATAACTAAGATGCCCCACTTCAGAACAGATCTCTTGGGACTTAGGTTGAGTTCTACACTAGTAGTTTCAGAACAGAGACAGCATATGCATGCTATCTAAAGTTAACCTTAAATAAGTCTCTAGTGTTCCTCTAAACCCAGTTCTTTTATAAAGTTTTACACATACACACACAGTTATAAAACATACAAAAACAGAAAAGCAATTGATTTTAGGACAAATGACTTGGGCATTAGATGTTGGCTGTGGCAGGGCATGTAATCATCTCCTAATGGCATGAACAGGAGCTGTTGGATCCACAGAACTCCAACACTTCAAGCACACACTGTAGTGAATGACTGTTCACACACTTAGGAAGGGCAGACATTCCTGGGCAAGTTCCCCACTCACTTTACCTACTGCCATTAAATAGATCTCAGTCTGCCTGCTTCCTGACTCATCTGGATATGTCTGCTGTGATTCTTTGACCTCTGTGTGTTCTATCCTCTACAGTTAAAAAAGTTTGACACTGTGCCTGCCCTTTCCTCAAGATTCTGTCACCCTATTTTAAAAGAGCAAAGTCTTATGAGTACTATATTACTTATTAGAAATGTAACTGCCTTAAACTTAGTGGGGTTTGTATTAAGACAGTAAGGAGGCATGGTGGTGCATACCTATAATCTTAGCATTCAGGAGACTTGAGGCAAGGATCAGAAGTTTGAAGCTAGCCTGAGCTATATGAGACCTTATCTCAAAGTGATTTTTTTTGTTGTTAGAGTTTTGCTTACAAAGTTGTATAGTGTTCTGCCCCAATTCATTTTTTGATAAGTTTTCATTACTTACTTTTCTTAGTTAGAACATGTATTAAAATGTACATTATTGGTCCTGTGCTTAAATAGCATTGTAATTATGGTCTTATTTACTTAAAATATAATTGTAGGGATTTTTTCCACAATCACCTTCTAGACAAGTTCAAATGTATACAAATGACTAATAGGATGGTGCCGCTTCACACAGCATTCCATCATAATTTATAAGTTTAGAGAAAGAACTATTTTCACAGTATTTACTATTATACCAGTATTCATGAAAGCTGAGCATAACAGGCACAAGAGCACTCTCTGATCATACTGAGTTTCTTATTTCACAGATACTTTTATAATTCAGGTAGATCAGCTAACCAACTGTTTGTTCTTAACAAGTAGAATATTTAAGTCTCCTCAACCAGTATTGCCTTCCCAGGCCCATCCTTTCCAGGTAGGAAGAGAAATTTTGATTAGGTTCTTCAGACCAGGCAGTTACATATGACACCCAATCTTCATATGAAGATAAACAGAAGGACTCCCACTAGGATATTCCATAGAAAGGAGATTACGTCTTTATGCTGAGTGTCCAGTTTAGGTGTGAGGCCTCAGATCCTGGACACCATGGCTCTGCATCGCCAGCTTTTATCACTGCTCTGCTTTAGACCCAGTTTGAGCTTTTCAGGACAGTTACAGTGGCAGAAGTGCTTAGGTGGGTAGTAATAGAATAGTCACAGAGGGTTTGCAGAGTCCAGAAGCCAGTCTCTTTCAGATGGGCTGAATTTCAATGAGGCTATAAAGATTTGGTTTCTCTGAGAAAGAGGAAAAACATTTGCTGTTAAGGCAATCATATGAGAAAAGACTGGAAAAATGGGTGTCTTTAGTCATCGCGTGGCAGCACATCTCATAACTTCACAGTCTTTTGCCAAAATATAATTGCTCTGAGGACATGAAAGATCCAGGAGTTATACTACACCACTGTGTGACAGAAATGCTATTGGAGCTACATGTGCAATGCTAAAATTTCTACTAGTCTCATTAAAAGGCTTATAAATTTAATTTTTCCCACCCCCAAATCACAAATACTATTTCACCACTTCCATTTGAATGACTATTAATGGGTTATTTTACTTGCTGTACCCCATCTCAGGTCAGACTTGTCTTTTTCCCAGAACATAAAGCCAAGTGCTTGTGGTCATCTGTGTAGGGCTCTGATGTGTCAGAAAGACAAGCATTAAAGAGTAGTCACCTGTGCCATTTAAGGCAGGAGAAGGACTTCATTCAGAGCCACCCACAGCTCTAGGGTCTTGGTGGCAGTTCACTTAAGTATCTTAAGAGCTGAGAAATTGATTAGACTCTCCGAGACTAATGTTAGAGGGGTACAACAGTGACAGATGATATCACATGCTCACCTGCTGCCCACGGCAGCTGGCATCTCACCTGGAAACTGTTTCCCACTCACCTAGGAGCCTGGAGACCCACAGGGTTGCTGCTTGCAGGCCAGAGAACCCACTGCACCTGTGAATAAGACCTGAGCGTGACTGCATACAGGTGTGTCCTTACAATTGATCAGTCCCGTTTGTGTTAATTACTGACACCTGCCCAGCTGTGTCCCTCCTGTGTTCTCTTCTGTGTAGTCTTTTTGTCCTGCCACTTTAAACATTACTATTATATTTATTTTCTGTGTGGGTGTGTACATTGTGGCATGGATGTAGAGGTCAGAGGACAGCTACTGGGAGTCAGCTCTCGTCTTCTACCATGTAGGTCCTGGGTTTTGAACTCTAATCATCAGGTTCTACACACAGCAAGTGCCTTTACCTGCTGAGCCATCTCAGTGTCCCTACATTAAAAACAAAACAAACCTCTGTTGTCCAATAAAAAGTTTATACTTTTAGCTTTTTTTTCTCTATTAGCATACAGGTAAAAACTCTTCTATTCTTCTAGTTCCTACCCTAGAGATGCATGCTTAAATTATCACAGTCCAAAGCTAGCCAGGATCTTCTCATGCTTTCACCCAACTATCCTCTGCTGGTGCAGTTTTGCAAACACTAGAGCTCTCTGACTTAACTTGTTGGTGACACACTGTTATTCTTGTTTGGCAGATTCAGTACCTGTGAGATAACCCTCTCTCCCTTTATTTACTACTTCTACCACAGACTTACCATCTAGGGCAGTTTTCTTCCTTCAGGGAATGCAATTGTCAATGTTCCTCCCAAGAAGACATTTTAGAGTCATCACAGCATTGTCCATCTGAGCTTGTATCTCTCTCGAACTCTGCTCTTACACATAGTTTTCATTTCGTTCACATCACATTGTAGGCTGTTTCATTTCCCCCGAGGATGCCCAGTCTTTTGTCTCATGCTGAACCTCGGAGACATCTGTGTGGTGCAGGAGCTATTCCTTTGAACACCCTGTTGGGTTTCTTTGCTCTCGAGGTATTCCACAGCATTATTAGGTAGAACACTCCCCTGCCCTTTTTAAGTCATATTGAGGGTCCTTTGACCACTTAAGTTTGTCTGGATTAGTGTCAGATCTGGAAAGGCCTTTTCCTTTTCTGTTTCAGACTGTTCTCTTTGACCTGTGTATTCACCTTTCCTTCTTGGTTCTAATAACAAGATGGAGCCTACTGCA